GGTATATATCTTTGAAATGTGTCTGTATTTATATACAGACAAGGGGCAGTACAACTCACCTGGCGTTCATCTCTATTGGGCTGTATCCGCATTGAGTGGCAATGATATGCGCTAGTGTTGTCTTGCCTAATCCAGGAGGTCCGCAGATCAGCAGCACTTTATTGAACGGTCGCACGAGAGTGTCTTTCAGCAGAAGGTCTACAGGACCCATAACGCGTCTGTGAACGATGGCAACGGTGTGTTGTGGTGATATAATAAGAAAATAAGCTCACGAGGCGATCAGTATATACTATGACACCGCCCCGTTCACTTAGAACTCTTAGAACTCTTTAGTTTTAGGGTTTAGGGTTTAGGGTTTTTGAAATTTAGGGGTTAGAATTTAGGTATCTGATAGGGGTTCAGGTTAGGGTTGTAGAGTTTTGAAATTAAGGGTTAGTTAGGTTTAGGGTTGTAGCGCTGTAGGGTTTTAGTCGTTTGCAAACGATACTCCTGGCGTCAGATCGCATACGTTACGTTAAATAATTAGTACATTATATATATATTGGCTACATATAACATATATATACCGGCTACATATAAAATATATTTACTGGCTACATATAAACACTTTATTGGCTATATATAATTTTAATATTGGCTTTAGTCAAGCACTCTATTCACTCTCTTGGCAGCATATGAAATTCTGATTAAAGCCTACGGTACCCCCTTGCTAGATTCGTGGGAGTGTGGGTGCAAATGTTGCACACAGTTTAATTTCTCATCGAAAGTAATGTACTTCCTCAAAACTACACCCACGCTACATGTGCCAAGGCTATTCCAACCCTTGACTATATACCCTATAGCGTAAATGTACGTACTAAGTGCATACTTTGTAGCTCAGAGCAGGAGTGTAAGCTGTGCGCACATACTTTGTTTCATAGAGCGACGTATCGTAGTCAGGAACCCAATTCTTGACCCATGGCCCGGATGATTTTGGCGCTGTAAGTAAACCAGTGTAATTTGAGTTTTCCGATTGGAATATGAATTTACGCGTAAATAGTTGTAGATGTAAGTA